GGGCGGCTGCAGCAGCGGGTGCGTCAGCGTGGCGCACAGGGCAGCGGCGGGCAGTGCGCGAGGCCACGAGGCGCACGGGCAGCAGCGCAAAGGCGCGCGGGCAGCGGGGAGGCAGCGCGACGGGCCGCGCGCGAAGAAAATAAAGCGCGCGCGGGCAGCTGGCGGGGCGCACGCGTGAAAACGGCCGCGCGCGAGCGGCTAGTACGGCGCGCGCGGTAAAAAAAAGGAAAGCCACGCGCGGGCGGCTAGCGAGCTGCGTGCGCGTGGTAGGTAGGTAAGGAGCGCTCTAGGACGCGCAGGCGCACGAGGCGCACAGTAGGTAGGTAGGTAGGTAGGTAGGTGGGCCCTAAGAACAGTCCTAGCGACGGACCTGCTCTGAAACCATGTCAGTGATAACGGACTGGAATGGTGAACTAGAAAGGATTGTGAGTACAAATATGAAACCCTAATGTTGTGACCCCCCTATAGGCTAACCCACTACAGCCTACACAAACACAACACATATAATGTTTGACAATGGAGACTTTGAAATTCGGTGCAGCCTGAAGTGAAGATGCTGATGTAACCCAACTGTTGATGATTGATAAGATAAGCACGTTCAGGAACAAAAAACAGGGTGTTGGATTGTATGTTGGTATATGCAGAAAAATAGAAGTCAACACATGAGGTTAATAAATACACACAAGAATTGAGCTCAACTTTCTTCTAGATAGATAAGCTAGGGTACATCATGAAAGGTGATGAGAAGTGGAGACTAGCAGGAAGAGTTTGAAATCGAATTGTTGAAATTTACTAAAAAAAACTAGATTAGAAACTCATATCTTCACCAAACAGCCAAGCACGTGACTAAGAGAATAGAAGAATATCTCAACTCACTTAACGTGGGGCAATAGTAGATTAAGAAGAGTTGAATGATAGCTTATTAACTAGATAGGTACCTTGAAGGTCTTGAATGTGTTGAGCTTGGTGTGAAGAAGAACAATAGAAGAAGCTAAAGGAAATCTTGAGTTTGGTGTGAGTAAGAGAAGGATGGAAAAGAAAGGGAGAAAGAGCTAGGTAATGCTTTGGGAAGGGAGAAGTGGAAGAGCCTTTCTTGATTGGACACAATGTTGACCAATGGTAAGGTAATTGCTACTGTGAACTTGGACAAAAAAGCAGTTGGAAGCATTGAGCTAGAAACAAAACAACCAATAGAACAATGTTGCTTTTCTTGTTTCTAGTTCATAGTCCATAATCAATTTGTTGACAAATTACAGTTGTACAACTGTTTTTTTGTTTTCTACTTGAAAATCGTTTTCATTTGACAGTTACAACCGAAATATAGGACAAAAGCAGAGCAGACGAACGACAACTTTCAAGACAAAAAACAAAAACGTGAGCTGGCGTTTTTCAGTTACAACAGCCACAATGAGCACTTACGACAAGAAGAACAACGTGAAACAGAGGACCAAAGGTTCTGTTTCACGAAACCCCCGTTTCTCCCCCCCACCCCCCCCCCTCCGGCCCCCTCCCCCTCCACATTTCACGAGCGAGATATTCTGCTGACGTTCTTCCCCCCTCCCCCCCCTCCACATTTCACGCGCGAGAAAAACAGCAGCGAACGCTCGATTTGATTTGGGGCGACGCTGCTGACGTCAGCAGTTTTTCTCGCGCGAGAATTTATGTCTGACGTCAGCAGCGACTTTCGAAATTTCGCGCAAATTTCGAAGCTGACGTCAGCAGCGAAGTTCGAAATTTCGTGCGAATTACCTAACGCTGATGACGTCAACGAGACGAAGCTGACGTCAGCACTCCGAAATTTGAAATAACGTTCAAATAATACATCAACAAACATTATAGAACTGTAAACATAGAAATAAAACCTACAACTACTCATGTAAACGTTCTTATTGATGTAGAAAAAATCAAGTCTACCACGTAAATACTGAGGAACAATTAAGAGCTTCAACTCAACATTCACATAAGAACATACCGGTAAAGAATGCACAGATATTCCTAATTTAAATATGAAGATGTGATCAACTTCATTCAAAAAACTTTTAGAAAGTTACACTTGTTGCTTCGCAACCCTAAGACGATTTCGTCGCCTCTTGTTTTTTTTTTTTTAGAACGAGTTTGCACTGTCGTAACTGTGACATGCGTGAGTGACTATTCACAACCTGTCAGAATTCATACGTGAGTATGAGTCCATCACGTCTCAGACCCACATATGTGAGCTTTCGACATGAAGATGAGGCATATATCATAGGCCTTCATCTTCTTGGTGTCTAACTAAAGAGCCTGAAATGCCGCGGGATGTCGTCGAAAGCGAAATATGGACGTGCTTGTTGGAGAGGAGAGGAGGAGGGAAACTCGCGGTCGCGGCGCAGATGCAGCAGCATTCGGTGCGATTCGCATCACATACTCCCACCCCAACGCGCACGAACAATTCATGCCCAGTCAACGAGCGCCCCCGCACGAGGGTCAGTCAGGGTGCCCTCCGCGCCGGGCCCTGCCATGCCAGGTTGCCGGCAGCCCGCGCCGGACCCTTTACTGTGACTGTGCTTGTATATAGACCAAATACAGTTAGTGTTATATCTAGTTACGTTCTACATTCAAACCTTTATTATCAAACGTTTACTATGAGCAGCTAATGAACAAGCAGATCATTTATAGCACACGATCTCACTGCCTCCATTTAATACTAACAGCTTCTTTAGATTTGCCATCGCATATGTGCCCATCATGACACGATGCAAGCCCCAAACTCTCCCTTAAATACCCTATGTGGTGTGAGAAAGTTGACCGATCGGTTATCATCGTTACCACGGCATGCGCTGCCACTAGCTTATCCACCATTGCTCGCTGACCTGGTTGAAGATTCAGCTCCTTAGGTAATCTGACAACCACAATAGACCATGCTTGTCCCCTCGCCCTTGCAAGCGATGCTTGTGACTGTAACAGCTGCTTGAAAACCTCCACCTCCTCATCAGGAGCATCAGAGGAAACGAAAAGGTTGGTCAAATTTAACCGCATCATTTTAAATGCAGTACACTCCGCCACCGCCTGTAACGGCCAGTACCGTATATCCGTCATCTGGTGACTGTGCTCAAGAAAATCCGTCCGCCGAAGATGTATAGCAGCATAATCCCTCCCAACGAACTCTTCTATGAACCCTGCAGCTTGGTCAAGCACTTGCTGGGGAGGCTGAAAAAGCAGCTTACACCGAGTGCTAAAAAAACGGCTTGGCCAGAAGAATTCAGGACCCGGATCTCCAATCTTGGAGAATGAAAAGAAGAGGTCACCAAGAGCAAGCACAGAAACGTTAGCAGTTGCAGCAGCGATCTTAGGAACTAGGTCGAAAAGATTACCACCCTCCTCCCCAAGAATATCTTGATTTGAGAGTTTTATTTTAGAAGGGATGTCGCCGCAGCTGCCATCAATGAAGGTACAGCTGAACTGTACCTGACCGCAGAGGAATTTATCAACCACTAATTCGCTTCCACCACCGCCTCTTGAAGTCAAATACTCTGATCCCGATATCACCTTGCGAAGAGGCTGGACATGCTTCAGCGAACCTGCTTCTGTGCCTGCCTCCTCCGGTTTTGGCACGTCTCCAAAGCACTGGGACAAGTGGCCAATGTCTAGGGTTTCAGAATACACCACCGGCCGACCGAGAGAGCGAGGGATGCAGAGAGGAACCTCGGGAATAAGCAGTGTGCGGTTCAGGAGAATTGCTGCCAGAATGGTCTTTTGAAGGCATAGGAGGCGATTTGTGCTTCCGCCATTGGTGCAGGAGACCATAAGGTACCGGTTGGGTAGTGGGACCCATTCTGGTGCAGCAGAGAGGGGTTTGGCTGTAGATGATGGAGAAGGGGGGAGCATGACGCCAATGGGAGCGGCGCATGTGTCATCTGAGCGTTGTTGGTCATCCCGAACCTGCCTGTCTCGTAGGTTCTGGTTCGGAAGTGATGGGGTGGAGTCTGGTCCGGTTTCAGGCTTGGACGGAATGTCAGCTGGGGATGAATTCAGTAACCTCGGACTGCCAGTTTGCTGAAGTTGGACCACTGAGCTTGTATCGAGTCTGGAAGAACCCTCTTGACGAGAATCCGCTGGCTGACGTGGACCGACCAGATCATTGACGGTCCGATCCAGAACGGGATCAGTGCGAAAGTTTCCCAACTTCTCCGAATGCGATGATACAGAACCCTGAGGCGAATCGAAGGTGCTTGGAAGCTCTAATTGTGACGACTCTGATAGCCCTGAGGGACCTTGCAGTGATTGAGAAGAGTAGGCTGAGAGGTACGCAACGCTGCATGTAACGGCGGCGACGAGGAGGAGGTGGTAGTGCAGCTGGTGAAGCTGGGTGAGCAGATGCGACCGTTGCTGCTGCTGCGGGCGATGCAGTACGCCATGGCGTAACGGGATGAACGCGGACGACGACCTCATTGCGATGGATCGCCACTAATTATCACTTCCTACCGCAGGCTACCAGAGATTACCACGAAATACCATACCACCACAATTGACATCCATTGACGCAGCGCTTTTGCGAATTCTGATTCCTCGGCGCAGCCTACGACCCGCTCAGACCATTCGCGAAGATCGAAAGGTGGGGTTTTTATCCCAGCAGTTCTAAAAGTGACTTGGCTCGTTATCTCGAAGGTCGCCTAGACCTATCTGTTCCTAGAAAATATCAACACACAATTTCAGTTGTTGATGAGCGATTCACGTATCGATGTTCAGAAAGGTTCGTAGCGGTTGACAGGGGTAAACGAATTGAATGCACAGCATCGTACTCCACCGCTGTTTATCACCAAACAAAAAGTGCACTCGCTGTTCTGGGAGCCGTGCCACCTGATTCAGATTCTCAGATCTACCCTCCAGTCAAGTAGCGGCAGCTATCCTCGATAAACGCAGGTTGTCGACATTGGCGCTTCTGAACGTAAATGGCAATGACGCAACTACTGAGTAACCAGACACGTAGTCCCTTTTGCACCATTCAACACTCACACATGCACTCAATTTTTTTTGAAAAGTTTCACTGGTTTCTTTGCAAGTGAAACAAGGGCCCACCCATCCTCCTCTTCAACAGATATTACTTTTGCATATGGAGTGTATGCCGTAACTACCTGCTCCACCTGCCAAACAAAGACAGCTTGATTAGCACAGAACACTAGACATCAAACCAACCCAAAACAACAATGCTACAACACCAGACCGTACCTGATTGGTCAATATCCCTGACAGCCCAAGCCTCCCACCAGGCTTGGTCCTGGAAGATATCCGTTCGGCCAATAGGAGCAGAGGGTTCACAAGGATGTTAGCAGCCACAACGTCAAACAGCACACGTGGCTCCGACGAATCAGACACCGCCAGCTCAGCAGGCAGAGACGGCAGCGTTACACCGTCACCACCCCTTAGTTCCCTCGCACGGGTCCCTCCTGCTTCATTATTGTCAAACTCGTTAAGAGGGTCTGGGCCGTCCGGGTGTGTGAGAAGGACGGTGAATTGTGAAGAGGGAACGCTATTAAGGGATGCGTTGTGGGCAGCTGCTGCCACTGACAGTTCATCGATATCCACCCCCACCGCTGCTGCTGCTCCCATCTTGATCCCCGCAATCGCAAGCACGCCCGAGCCCGTGCCGTAGTCCAATAGCGTGCTGCCAGGTGTCACGACCGAGCGCAGCCAGCGCAGGCAGAGGCGCGTGGTGGGGTGATCGCCGGTGCCAAATGCGAGACCGGGCTCTAGAGTGATTGCAAGAGGGGACTGGTCTTGGGACTGGTCCTGGGAGAGCTGGAAAGGTGGGGAGGCAGAACAGAGAGGTGTGTTTGCAGCTGGCACATGCAGAGACGCGTGGTGGGGTGATCGCCGGTGCCGAACGCGAAAACCGGCTTTCGTGTGATGGCCAGAGAGGGCTAGTCTTGGGACTGGCCTCGTGAGACCTGAGAAGGGGTGGGGAGACGGAAGGGGGAACTCACAGCGCAGGCAGCGGCGGGAGGAGGGATGGTTACCAGTCTACGAAGGCGAGACCCGGCTCGAGAGTGACGGCCAGAGAGGGACAAGACTGCTCTTGAAACTGGCTTAGGGGAAGGTGAAATGTAAGGGGCTCTATTGTGAGGGCTTTGTGTTGAGAGGGCTGACAGCAGGGTGAAGGAAAACAAGAGCGAAATTTTGCAATGCAGACCATGCAGGGACCAGGCTTCACAAAACCAAAGACTTGATTTTCATAACAGTTTGTACCATTCCAAGGCCTGCGGCCATACCTCATCTGGCAGTGTGGCCCAGGAAGGGACGATCCAAAGACCTGGATCCACACGGATGGGATGGAAGGAGTGTTTTGAGTCGACTCATATCAGCCGAGGTTGTATCATCAGAAAATCCATACCTCATCTGGCAGTGTGGCCCAGGAGGGGACGATCCAAAGGCCTTGGTCCACGCGGATGGGATGGAAGGAGTCCTGCAGGCAGAGGGGCAGAGTGGAAAAGCAGGGCATTGGTTTTGGCAGAAAGGAAAGTGATTAATGCAATTTGTTGAGTCCTTGTTCAATGCGGATGGTATGAAGAGGGTCCTGCAGGTAGGCAGGGCATAGGGGCAGAGCAGGTGTCTACAGCCAAAGAACTCTCCTGGAACGCCCCTAGCGAGGTTTGAGAGACCTCCTCAGATCAGACACCTGGAAGTCACCTGGAGGTTTAAATCTGACTTGAAACTCACCTGTATTTGCTACACCTCCTCTACCACCTCCTCCTCTACACCTCCTCCGCCCCTCTTCCACCGCCAGCGACACCACTATTGAACCATAGGCCATATCTATAACACTTTTGGGACGAGTTTGGCATAGGTTCAAGACTCACCTGTACTTGCTGCACCCAGTCTCGCTCCACTGCCTCCCCCACCCCCAGCAACACTGCTATAGTACACTAGCCCAACATTTCTATGAGTGAAGTGCCGATCAGAAGACTAACCTGTACTTGCTGCACCCAGTCTCGCTCCACCACCTCCTCCACCCCCAGCAACACTACTCCCACAACCTCCTCCCTCTGCTTCCCATCCTCCCCTCCTCCCCTTTCCTCCTCTCCCTGCTCCCCCTCCCGCGCCCACCCCCCCATGGCCCACTGTACTGAGTCTGCCGCAAGGTGAACAGTGTTGCGGATGTTCTCCTCGCTCTGATTGGCTGGGAAGAACGCCCGGAGCCGAGTCTGGAGCAGGGGGATGGGGGAAGGAGGAGCAGGGGGATGGGGGGGGTGGAAGGGGATGGGGAGAGATCGGGGGAGCGGAGGGGAAGGGATTGGGGAGAGAAGTTCAGTTATGAAAAGGTAATGAAAGAGAACGTCCGGAGCCAAATCTAAGCAGGAGAATGAGGAAACGGGAGGGAGGGCGAAGGGTGGGGGAGGGGAGATCCTTGAAAGACAAGTAACAATGCGCACCTGATTCCAGAGGTTTCGGGGGCCACTGGGATCCCAGGGAATAGGCCCCGATGAGTATATCTGCGGGTTTTGCACAGCAGAGGAGGGAAATGGTGAGTACAGATGGGGGAGGAAAGAAGGCCTGCTTTGAAACAGAGGAGGGGAAAGGTGCCTCAAAACACCACTGGAATCCCAGGAAATGGGCCCAGACGAGTAAATCTGTGTTTTTTAGCAGCAGGAATGGTGAAAAAACAGAGCGAAAATAGGAGTTGATTGTGTGCAGGAGGGCACATGTGTGCAGGAGGGCACATGTGTGCGTGTGATCTTGCATTCGAGGAATGAGTTTACGGGTGTGTGCGGGCATCCATACACGTGTAGGTGGTAAAAAAGGAAGAGAGAAGTGAAAAGCCAGTGCCCCTATTTCCTGCCCATCCCTCCAACTCATGCCTACCCCTTGCTGAACCCAATACCTCCTGCTCGGCTTCTGTGCCTGTATTGGCGTCTTCTATTGAGCATGTAGTGGCTCCCAACGACAACAGAGCGTCCATTAACGCGTCCTGGGTGTACATCGGGAGGGGTTGGTGTACATGCGGAGAATTTGGGGGGAGAGGAAAGGGGAGAGGGGAGGGGTGAGGGGGAAGGGGGGAGGGAGAAGAGGGTGGAGGGGGGTTCAGGGTATCGGGTTCAGGTTCTGATCTCACTAAGAACATGGCGAATCACTTACAGCCACGTGTCCAGGACATGTCATGATGGCAGCGCGCGTGACGCAGACCGACAAAGGATCAGGTGGCGATGCAACTCCTCCTCTCGCTTCTTGTCCTTCTCCGCTGTATGCTCTGCAAATTCCGAGTAAATTCCGAGGCCCATTTGCTAAGAATCTTCGCCGGCTGATGCTGCTAGTGCTGCTGATTACGCTGGTGCTGCTGATGCTTCTGCTGCCGGCAACCGATCGTATACAAGAATATCGAAACGCGGAAGCGGGTGATAGAGAGGAACTAGGCGGAAGAATTGACGACTGCTTGTTACTACCGTTGGATGAGACATGTGTGAGACGGCGAGGCATGACCTCGACCGTTGACGGTAATGACGCGAAACGGGTACAGAATGTGCCGGCCATTGCGACCAAGTAGGGCAGAATGCCTTCCACGATTCGGCGCCGACCAGCAATTTTCGCTTGATCACCGTAATATTTGGAATGATATGATCAGCTGCTACTTGCTGTCCAGTACGGAGGGAAAGCTACGAAGGATAATGCGATGGAATTCTGTCGTGGAGATAACAACTCGGGGCATGGCTGTGGCACGAAAGACGCAGAACGCTTCGGATTGAGTGAAATGTCGTGCACAAGCGAAATTGCATCGGCCTGACCACCAGCCTCCGAGGCTGCGACCTACGAGGTACAGAAGTGCCTACTATCTTATTCCAGGCGCGGCTGGTATTCAGTCTGCTGTACCCGTTATAGTGATCATCAATTTGGTCCCCATATATCTGGCGGTTCTGAAATAGGATGACAATGGGAACACATTCATGTTGGCATGCGGTACAACTAACTTGCCAACCCCACTGCATCAGGCAAGAATCCAACTTCACTGGTACAATTGTTTTTCCGTGATAAAACACGAGAAGACCACTATATACCATGATCTCATGATCTGTAAAAGAAACCAGCGGCTGGCCCTCTTCGAGCAAATGGTTTCAGCCACCCACAACACCCCCCCTCTCAAAGTCTACATGCAACGGAATGATTGGAATTAGGGTTTGCAAGCATACAAATAGGAGTCCTACAAATGTTGTACCCTTTAGGGAGTGCCTCACTGCAGCCTATCATAACATTAACATTTGACACACCCCCATAGGCTAAGTGAGGGACACCAGGGCAAGCAAGGTGAAAACAAACGGTCACAAGACCAGTCAAGGCAAGACAAGCTCAGGGTGGAGCTCAAGGACACCACACAAATTCCGAGCACAAGCAAGTGGCCACAAGGCCAGTTCAACAGTTCACTAGGATATAAATATGAAAACACAACAAGCAGAGCAAGCAACAAGACTACAGCAACCGGGGGCCTACCTCAACAAGCCCCAACTGCACACAGAACCTGTGGTGATCACCAGGCGCCAAGGCCTTGGTGAAGACGTCTGCAGTGTTGGCCTCTGAGGCCACAAAGTCCAGGCGTGCCTGGCCGCGTCGCTGCAGCTCTCGCAGGAGGAAGTACCTCACGTCAATATGCTTTACTCTGCTCTCCAGTCGCGGCTCTCGACACAGGAGGATCATGGCCTTGTTGTCAGCATACAAGGTCGGTGCAGAACGAGGCCGCTCACCAAGGTCGGTGAGCAAGAAGGTCAACCAACGAAGCTCCTGTGCCGCCATGGCACCAGCGTAGATCTCTGCCTCTGCACTGGAAGTAGCCACAGACGACGACCGAGTAGACCTCCACGACACAGCACCAGCTCCCAGACTGAAGCAGTAACCCTGAGTCGAACGCTGAGTCTCCACGTCGTCAGCGTAGGAAGAGTCGCAGTGCCCAGTCAACGCCACTGGCTGAGTCCCTCCAAGCACAAGCCCCATGCCTGATGTAGTCGCCAGGTACTTCGCCACCCTCACAGCAGCTGTCCAGTGGACAGGACGGTGTCTCCCAGTCGCAACAAAGCGAGAGAGGACGCTGAGAGGAAAGGCGAGGTCCGGCCGAGTACAAGTCATCAGGTACATGAGGCAGCCCACCAGCTCTGCGTAGGGACCACTGGACTCAAAAGGCTCGTCGGGAAAGGGGCCAGTGAGTCTGTGGTCAACAGCAAGAGGAGTGGGCTGTGTGGTGGAGAACTGGAAGTCGAACCGCCGAAGGACCTGCTGCACCATGTGTGACTGCGTCAGTGTGATGGTGCGAGCGGCTCTATCCCGGGTGATCTGCAAGCCAAGGTAACGCTGCAGCTCACCCAGGTCAGTGCACTTGTGTCTCTTCTGCAGTTCGAACTTCACCTGAGCCAGGGCTGCCCTGTCTGCTGTAGCAAACACCAAGTCGTCGACGTAGACAAGGATAAAGAAAGGAGTAGAACCCGCTCGAACAAACAGCGACGGGTCGGCGGAGGACGGGCTGAACCCAAGGTCACGAAGCGTGGAGCGAAGAGTGTCGTGCCACTCACGGGGCGACTGGCGGAGACCGTAGACTGGTCGCCTCAGGCTCCACTGGGTCCCTGGTGGGAAGGTGTCAGTGAAACCAGGAGGACGGCGCAGCCAGATCTCCTCGTGCAGTCGGCCCTGGAGGAACGCAGTGGAGAAGTCGAGGGAGTGCAGCTCGTAGTCTCGCTGCGCTGCTATGTGGAGTAACACCCGAAGAGTAGTCATCTTCGGGGTCGGGGCGAAGGTCTGGAAGAAGTCAACTCCCTCACGCTGACTGAAGCCCCTAGCCACGTAGCGCGCCTTGAACACCGGCGGTGCTCCAGGCGGCCGCTTCACCTTGAAGAGCCACATGCCATCGACTACGTTCGCCCTGGGAGGGGGAACTGCGTCGACGTAGGTGCCTGTGGATCTCCAAGACGCCAACTCTGAGTCCATAGCCGCTTTCCACTGAGAGGCCCACGCCCCTGACACTGCCTCGCGGTAAGTGCGAGGAGTCGGTATGTCAAGGGCGTCGGGGTCTCCCTCAGGGGAGAGCAGCATGGCACACACAGAGGGAGAAGCGGCTGCCCAGTACTCCAGCTCAGACTCTCTGTCCTCTAGGACGTCACAGCCAAGGGCAAACTCACCCCCGACGGACAGAGGACGGTAGGGAGGAGCTGGCACCACACGGGTGGCGTAGTCAAGGCGGCTGGCGGCAGCAAACTCAGCGACAGCGGCAGTGAGAGCAGAGACCGACGACGGAGGGAAACGAGAGTCGGTGACAAGAGTGGCGAGGACACGTGCGGCAACAGGACGAACAGCGCGGTAGTAGTCGGTGATAGGAGTGGGGAGGGAAGGGAGAGAGGACGGAGGAGGAGACGGGAGAACGGACTCAGGAGAAGGAGAACGACGACGAGACGAACAAAGGAGGGCAGTGTGGAGGTCAGTAACAGGGGACGAGTGACGAGCACGCGGCGAACAACGGGTGACCAAGTCGCGACGGACAGAAGGAGGAGGAGACTGTGGAGGAGGAGAAGACCAGACCGCCGGACGGTCGTCAGGAGGAGGCAACGGAGAAACAAACACAGGAGGAGACTGGGAGCGGACAGGAGGAGAGGAGGAAAGGCCAAGGGCCCGCAGGCCACTCACAGGTGGGAACAACTGCCGCTCAAGAGGAAGCTGCGGAGGCGGCTGCTGCTGCTGCTGCTGCGGCTGCTGCTGCGGCTGCGGCTGCTGCTGCTGCGGCTGCTGCTGCTGCTGCTGCTGCTGCTGCTGCTGGCGCTGCTGCTCCAGAAGGTCCAGCACCCGCAGCTCCTGCCGCTCCCTCTCCAGCCGCTCCTGCTCCTCACGCTCACGCCGACGGGCAGCCTGGAGACGCGTGTCGTGGCGGTGGGGAGGCGGAGTGGACTCCGCAGAACCAGGGCCTCCAGCGTCAGTCTCCTCAGACTCAGCTCCCCCAGAACTAGCACCGCCAGCGCCAGCACCTCCAACTCCAGCACCCCCAGAACTAGCACCTCTAGTGCCAGTACCTCCAGCTCCAGCACCCCCAGAGCCAGCGCCACCTGCGCCAGCACCTCCAGCTCCAGCACCCCCAGAGCTAGCGCCGCCTGCGCCAGCACCTCCAGCTCCAGCACCCCCAGAGCTAGCGCCCCCAGACCGAGCACCGCTAGAAGCTGCACCTCCAGCTCCAACACCAACCGAGTCCACAGGAACCTGTCGCGGAAGCGCCGAAGGCTGCTGAGGGGGCTGTGAGGAGGACTGCGGGGAGGGAGACGCTACCTGACGCGCGACCGAGGGTAGAGGGGTAGCGTGAGACACACCAGACGGGGCAGGACCAGGGGGGGGCAGGGGTACCGGAGGAGCGGGAGCAGGAGGAGGAGAGGGTGCGAGGAAAAGAGGGGGAGGGGGTACCGGGAGACCTCGACAAGGGTACCGGGTGTAGTAGGACACGGACTCGTCAAACCGGACGTCACGGGAGTCTAGGAACTGGTGGAGGGGCGGGTGGTAGAAGGACCAGTCGGCCGAGTCTACCGGGAAACCAAGGAAGACACAGGGAATGGCGCGTGCCGAGAGCTTGTCCGCAGAGGTGTCGCGGACCTGCGCAAGGCAGCCCCAGACTCGAAAGGCCGACCCGACACCAGGGGAACCAGTCCAAAGACTGGTCGGTGAAGCCTCGGGCCGCGAGACACGCGGCTGGAGGTTCAGCTGGTGTGCGGCGTAGCGAACCGCGTGGGGCCACAGAAAATGGGGCGCACGGGCATGGATCATGGACGTGCGGGCGATGTCCATGACCAAGCCTATGCGGCGCTCAGCAACCCCATTCTGCTGTGGGGACTCTGGCAGAGTCCAGGACTGGGTGATGCCCTGTTCGCCGCAGAATCCGCCGAGAATGCCGGAGCGAAACTCGCCCCCACGGTCGGAGTGGAGACAACTGACTCGACGACCACGAGTGCCCTCAGTGGCTAGAAGCCACCTGATCAGCGTAGCAGTCACCTCGGACTTCTTCGCAAGAGGGAACACTGTGGTGTACCTGGAGAAGTCGTCGACGACCACCAGAAAGTAACGCTCCCTCCCAGACCCCTGCGTCGGGGCAGGGCCCCAGACGTCCAAGTGGAGAGTCTCGAAGGGAGCGGTGGCCGGACGAAGGGAGGAGGAGTGGGGAGTGGCGCGTAAGCGACCGGCGACGCACGGAGAGCAAGGAGGGGCAAGCGAGAGAGGGAGCGACGGGAAGGTGCGTGGGAGACCTGTGACTAGTCCGTGACTGAGCATGCCACGAAGGCGAGGGATCGACGGGTGGCCAAGACGGTGGTGCCACAGAACGGTGCGGTGGGCGAGAGAGCGACAGGAGCAAGACGCAGCGACTGGACTGGACACAGCGACCGGACTGGACACGACTACCTGGCTAGACACAGCCACTGGACTGGGGACCTGGGTCGGAGGGGACGCAACAACCGGAGGGGAGGACGCGACCGGGGAGCGCTCGGTGTGGAGAACGTAGAGACCGGAGCGGGGCTCCCTGGTGAACGTGGCCAGAACAGCACCTGTGGTAGCGTCAGTACAGACTGCAGTCCGCCCACCCCCCAAGAAGGTAACCGTGATCCCCCTGTCCTGAAGGTATCCAACACCCACCAAGTTCCGAGTGAACGAGGGGATGTGGAGGCCACGCAGGACACCAGAGGGGACCACAGGGCACGGGAGGGTGGTGGAGCTACGCGCAACGGCTGGTCCAGAGGTAGGATCAGCCAGAGCCACCGACACAGGTGTGAGGAGAGGCGTAAGGGTCGTGCGGTCGCGGAAGAAACACTGAGACGCGCCCGAGTCCAGCGTGAACGAAAGAGAGGCCTCAGCCGGTGGGTCACTCGACCCAGTCACTACACAAGCACCTAATCTAGACAGGCACAAGGCTACACTAGCAGGAGGCAAGCAGTCTAACCTACGAACACGCGAGCACACAGATCCATCAGCACTAGAGTCAGCATCAACATACAAAGCATATTGACGCGCATCGTCCATGGACAAAGCAAATACATCAATCTTACGGGCTAACAGACGAGACCAGCGAGGCGTGCTCGCCAAAGGGCCCCAACGAGCCCGGTAGAGGTCGTCGAGGCGGCGGAAGCACCGCGCGGCAGAGTGGTCGTCGCGACCACAGAGACAGGGGCTACCCGGCCCGGTGACGCACCAGTGAGTGCACGGGCCAGCGTCACGGCGAGGGGGGCGAGGGGCCCAGCTGGAAGTACTGCTGCTGCGGCTGGTGCTCCCAGGGCCTCCCGGACCCCACTGCGGCGGGGGACCCCAGTGCTGCTGCGGACCCCACTGCAGCGGGGGCCCCCACTGCTGGAACTGCTGCGGTGCCTGCTGCTGCTGCTGTCCCTGCTGCTGCTGCTGTCCCTGCTGCGGGTGGTGCTGCTGTGGCTGCTGCTGCTGTGGGGGAACGCCCCCACCGGTCGGGCCTCCACCTGTGGGTGGGCCTGTCTGTCCAGCACCTCCTCCAGGGCCCCCTCCCCCTGGTGCACCACCGCCGCCGCCTCCGCCGCCTCCGCCACCACCGCCGCTCCCACCTCCACCGCCACCTCCACCGCCGCCTCCACCGCCCCCACCTCCCCCCTTTCCGCCCTTCTTGCCACTCTTGCCCCGTTTCTGCCAGTCTGCGGCAGAAACGGCAGCGGTGTCCTCAGAAACCGACACAGCAGCAGAAGCGCGGGTAGCAGTGAAAGTGGGAAGCTGAGGGGCGGCACACCCCGCAAAGAGACGGGGGGCCACCGCATCAGTGGCGGAGGCAACGGTGAGGAGGCTGCTCTCGATGGTCCCGAGAGCAGTCTGAAGGAGGTCTATAGTGAGCTCAGTGGGGTGCTTCTGAAGAAGCGCGTCGCGGGCAGTGGCAAGGCGGTCAGGGAGGCGGGTGACTAACCAGTGTACAGTGAGCCACATGGGGGGGGGAGCAACAAGGAGCTGTGCGTCGGTACAGGCAGCACGAAAACCGGCGTCAAGCGAGCGGAGGTGAGTCACTAGGTCGGAAACAGTGGCAAACGAGCCTAGGTCGGGAAACACAAACGGCATGAGGAGGCGACTGAGGGAGGCGGAGGAGGGGGTGGAGTAGCGGGCAACAATAGCATCCCACACCCCCTTGGCTGTCTCCACCTGGTCAAAGTGGGCGGCCTCAGTCGGGGGGAGAAGCTCCGACAGTGTGAGAGCGGCGGCAGCGTCACGCGAGAGCCACACGTCCCTGGCCAGGACCCGACGGTCGTACTCCGCCTGGGCCGTAGGGGTCGGCTCCGGGGTGGTCGGCAGGGCGGCGGGGGACGGGGGGGCCTGTAGGGCACCAGACGCGTGAGCCCACAGAGTGGCGCCGTCCTGTCGCTGGCTGGTGAGGAAGCGTGTGGTCTGGCGCTGCCAGGTACCGAACTCGATTGGGCGTCCCTCCGCATCGAAACGGAGGCGACGGGCCTCCATAGCGGAGCCCATGCTAGAGGCGGCTGGAGCACGGCGGAGGCGGAGCTAAGAACGAGGAGGAGGAGGACATAGACTAGGCGTGAAATCGTGGATCGCCAGCTACAGGTGCGAGGAGCGAGGTATGAGTGGCTAAAACGGCTCTAACCTAGGTGACCGGCGAGGGAGAGCGGCTGCCAGCCGCTGAGGGATAGTCCAGTGTCATCAGATTTGGGGAGGGCCTCGCGCACAAGGCGGCGGTGGGGCTAAGGTGATGAACAGTGAGAGAGGGGAGGGGAGGGCGGTTTTGACGGTGGGAATGGGCGGGAGGGCGGTTTTGACGGTGGGAATGGGCGGGGAGGGCGGTTTCAACGGTGGGAATGGGCGGGAGGGCGGTTTGGACGGTGGGAAAGGGCGGGTGGGCGGTTTTGACGGTGGGGATGGGCGGCGCGGGCCTGGGCGACGGGCTAGGCGCGGGCCTGGGCGACGGGCTAGGCGCGGGCCTGGGCGACGGGCTAGGCGCGGGCCTGGGCGACGGGCTACGCGCGGGCCTGGGCGACGGGCTACGCGCGGGCCTGGGCGACGGGCTAGGCGCGGGCCTGGGCGACGGGCTACGCGCGGGCCTGGGCGACGGTTGACGCGACGGGCAGGGGGAAGGGAGGCGACGCGACGGGCAGGGGGACGGGAGGTAACGCGACGGGGAGGGGAAGGGGAGGGCACGGAGGGGGGGTTACTAAGGGGCGCGACGTGGGGCGGGCTGAGGGCCGCGCTAAGGCGCGAGAGGGCGCTAGGAGCGCGGAGAGCGCGGAGGGCGCTAGGCGTGACGGAGGGCGCGGAGGGCGCTAGGCGCTACGGAGGGCGCTAGGCGCTACGGAGGGCGCGGAGGGCGCTAGGCGTGACGGAGGATCGATACCTACTTCTGATACCATCTCAAAGTCTACATGCAACGGAATGATTGGAATTAGGGTTTGCAAGCATACAAATAGGAGTCCTACAAATGTTGTACCCTTTAGGGAGTGCCTCACTGCAGCCTATCATAACATTAACATTTGACACCCCCCCCCCCCCCCCCCCCCCCCAACTCAGGGCAGCGTATGGTAAGGCTCTTCCATTTTCAAGCCACATTCCTCAATTGCATACACATGCCCATTGCGGCACCGGACTAGTGTGACCCCCTCCCAAGCCCACAGCTTCAAACCCTGTTAAAGAAGCCAGTGGCAGGGGCATTCCCTTCTCGAAGCCTATGGCTCGTCCCACCCACCACCTCCCCACACTCAGGGCAGCTCGACTCTTCCATCGCACCCCCACACTCCCCTATGGCATACACATGCCCGTTGCGGCACCGGTACCAGTGACCCCCTCCCAAGCCAATCGCCTTGAAAATATCCTCCTTCTCGCGCTCAGTCACTGCAAAGTACCGGGGTTCCTCGCGAACGGATTGCTCCAGATCACGCAAGTCCTTCTCGAGCATTCTCCGGGCGCTCCCCCCGAGGCTGTCGTTCTCTCTGACTGAGGCTAAGTGGTGGGAGGCCACCATGTGACACTGAGTCTTGGCTTTCTCGAGATACTCCAGCTGCTGCTCCTTTGATGCGTCCTGCCAGACAAGGCGCACATGTAAACCACCACGACAAATAAGCTCCACAAAACGTGGAAAGAAAAGATACACAAGAAGAAATTGCAGCGGGTTTATGCCAGGCCAGCCGGGGGAGGTTGAGAGCAGGCGTTCCACCATCATTCCTTCCATGAACGCACGGCACACGTCAACCAGTCTAATTCCCTCTCCCCCCTCCCTTCACATGTTTTGAGTCGACCCATATCAAAATACGGCAGGCAGGGGGGCAAGAGCAGCGTTCTCACCAGGCCAGCAGGGGAGGTTGAGAGCAGGCGTTCCGCCATCATCCCTTCCACGAACGCACGGTACACATCCACCAGCTCCAGCCTCCCCCTTTCATGTGTTATGAGTCAACTCATATCAAAACACGGCAGGCAGGCCAGGACAAGCACAGACTCTCACCAGGCCAGCAGGGGAGGTTGAGAGCAGGCGTTCCACCATCATCCCCTCCACGAATGCACGGTACACGTCCACCAGCTCCAGCCTCCCCCGCGCCTGTTTTGACTCACCTCAAATAGCACGCTGGGACAAGAGCAGCGTTCTCACCAAGCCAGCAGGCGAAGTAGAGAGCAGGCGCTCCGCCATCATCCCCTCCACGAACGCACGGTACACATCCACCAGCTCCAGCCTCCCTCTCGCCTCCAGCCGATGCGCCTTGCGCCTGCCAGCCCACTCCACCGCCTCCCCCGCATGCCTCTCTGCGTTCCTCAACCCGATACGCACAACTGCCCTGAAATTTTCCACCCACCCGGCCAAGAACGCTGCTCTGCCAGTGCTGTTCTTGTCAGCCTGACCATCATTTTGACCAGCATTCGGACGAGCATTCGGACGAGCCAGATTCCGGAGTTCTTTCAGCAGGTAGCGCAGCGGGAGGAAATTGGCAGTCATGAGCAGCTGAAACGCTTTCCCCAGCAGCAGGAGGGCTTCGCAGAGGGGCCGCGGGTCCGGCTGAGGCACATACAACAAATGGCACTCCTCTTCCCATGCAAGCAAATCAGAATCACCTCTGGATGACGAAACTCCCAAGTGGAAGTGCTTCCTCTGCAGAGCAGCTACCGAAGCCTGGTACGTCCGCTGGGTTGGCGGGTTCATAGCAGTGTCTCGCACGTTGCTTGCCTGCATTATCAGAAACGTCGCAGCCCGAGCTAACTGTTGCACATGCCAGGATTGGGCAGCTTCCGGACACGCAGATACAGCCTGGCTTAGTTCAGACAGCTTCTGCTGGAGGTGCTGCTGGTCGGCCATGCAGCTGAGGGCGAACTTGCGCTCTGATTCGTCCAGCAGCGCCTTGTTCACCATCCTGCCGTACCGGCGCAGCCCTGTGATTGGCTGGCGGCACTCCGGGCAGCCCTTGAGGGCGGACAGACCGCCATCGTCAAACGGCAGCACTGCCACCCACTTGGGTGCAGCTGCAGCTGCTTCTGACCTACCACCAGCCCCGCCTCCTGCCCCGCCTCCTGCTCCGCCTCCTGCCCCGCCTCCAGACGTACTGCTGCCACCAGCAGACCCACCTTCTGCCTCTTGGTACACCTGGTTCAGACCCAGATGGCCATCTAAAGTCTCCACTGTGTAGGCATGACCGCATGGCAGCACCAGCACAGGGCTCTCGTCAGGATCCATCTCCCCTAGCGTCTCCAGTGTGACTAGATCCACTGTCATCTCCCTCTTCTGCTCCTCTCCACACCCTTCAACCGTGCAGAACGCCTTCGGAGGGCATTTTTCGGAGCAGAGGGATGGGCACTGGTGGCCGCATTTGAGTCTCTTCTCGCACCGCTGCTCGCACGGGAGGCGGTCGCAGGGTGCGCCGCAGGGGAGGGAGCACCGGCCCTGGTGCTTGCAGTGCCACCCGCAAGGCTCGGCGCAGGGCGCGCAGGTTCGGTGGCAGGGTTGGGGGCAGGAGCTGTGCTGGCAAGCCACGAGGCACTTTTTGGTGCAGGGCTTGCAGGGGGAGCCGCTGTGGCAGGGGTCGGGGCAGAGGTGCGCGCAGGGGAGGGGACACTTGCACGGCTGCATGCACTTCTTGTGGTTTCTGCTGCTCCGGCTGCTGCTGCTGCTGCTGCTGTTCCTGTGGATGCTGCTGCTGCTGCTGTTGTAAGCCCTGTCCCTGGTCGGTGGTGGCAGTTGGAGCAACGATGCAGTGGCCACAGGGAGAGATGCACGTGTGCCCGCAGGAGTCCGAGAGGAAAACACCGCAGCGAGCGGTGCAGAGCTTGGGGTTGGCTACTCTGGTGGCGGCCTCACCGCACTTGACTGTCTGCTTGTGGCCGCACAGGGGCATCGTCACCTCCACCAGTATCCTGCCAGGGGAAAGCAACAAGAACATTTGTGATTACCTGAACAACCCGTCATTGAAGAAAGAGAAAAACAGTGAAATGTAAGGGCGAGGTCAGGTTGTACAGCTTTTTGCAACTTTTTGTACGCCCAGTGCGGTTAACTTCGTTTCAGCACGGTGCAGAGCGTTTAACGTCGAGAACCGTTTTTCACCGTGTTGGACCGTCTTGAACCACGATACAGGAACTGTAAGCACCTGTGAAATGTATAACCTGACGTCGCCCTAAAGGTTGTGAGACAGGCGGTGGCTTGGTGAGAAAGGAGCTCACGAGCCGTGAAGCAAGGTCTCGAGATACAAGCGGGTTTGTGAGGCTTGAAGTATAGACATTGAAGGCCTTATGACTGCAGAGAAGTGGATTTTAAAAATCCCCAACAACAGCTTATAAGCGGAAGAAGAAACTCACGAGCAGAAGATGGAGGTGGGATTCTGAGCCTTGAAGCAGGGAACGTTGAAGGCCTGATGGCCGCAGGGGAGTGTGACTTCCCTGGTGGTGACGAGGCAGGGCCCACAGGCCTCCCCACACTGCTTGGGGCACGTGTGCTGGTGCGGACACTCCTCCAGAGGGCGAATGCGGTTGCACTCCTTGGGGCAGAACGCATTGGCATGAGCCCTGTCATCGCTGTGGCATCTGTTGGGTGCAAGAATGAAGAGGGAAGAGTGTGGTCAAGGTAATGAAACAGCAAGTGTGGGCGCATGCGGTCATCCCCCCTCCATGCGGACTCCTCCAGAGGGCGGATGCGGTTGCACTCCTTGGGGAAGAACGCATGGGCATGCGCCCTGTCGTCCCCATGACACCTGTTGGGTGCAGAAACAAATACAGAAGGTTGTGAACATTTTGTGTGAGCTGGTGTGAACTCTCCTCTGGGGCAGAAAGGGCGTGCGTCATGTCATTGCCATGGCGCCTGTCAGGTGCCGGAAGGAGGACAACTATCATAAAAACCCCTCTAAGAAAGGTAGATTTCAGCTTCTCAGCTTGGAAGTATGGACATACGTCAACAGTGGCATGCATGTGTATCGAACGATATTTACATAAAATGTATGCATGCGTTTTCTGACCTGCGGGGGCAGGTGTGACCACAGCGTGTGAGGCGGAAGCCGCACATCTGGGAGCATCCGCCCTCGCTGGCCTTCTCCTTGAACTCCCCGGCGACATTCGAGTCGACTCAAAAGTAACCTTTTAAAAGCGGCACATGGAAGGCATGTAATTCTGACCTGCGAGGACAAGTGTGGCCACAGCGTGTGAGGCGGAAGCCGCACATTTGAGAACACCCGCCCTCGCTGGCCTTCTCCTTGAACTCGCCCGCTCTCTCAATGTGCGTCACCGTGTCCGGATGGTTCACACAGCGCAGCGGGATGAACTTCTGAACGCGCCCCCTGCTCTCCAGCATGTCCATGATTCTCGGCCAGAGGACCGACTTAGATGTAGCGGCCTTCATGGTGCTGGCATTGCCTGCTCGCAGGTTACAGCAAACCAGTGGGGAGAACAGAGAAGGGGAGAACAGAGTAAGGGGGAAGAGAGGGATGAACTTCTGCACGCGCCCCTTGCTGTCAAGCATGTCCATGATTCTTGGCCAGAGGACCGACTTAGATGTAGCAGCCTTCATGGAGCTGGCGTTGCCTGCTCACAAGGAGGTGATGGGTGATGGGAGATAGGAGAAGGGAGAATGGGTGAGGGAGAAGGGAGAAGAAGGAAGGTAGAAGGGAGCAGGGAAGAAGACGGCAGGAGATGGGAGAAGGGAGAAGAGAGCAAGGAATATGGAGGAGGTCAAGTAGGACCTAGTACCTCATAATAAGGCTATGATTTGCACATCGCAGCAAAACAAACCGCCGCTCAGCACGCCCACTGATCTGTAGTATGGTCGCAATTCTCAGACACAAGACGCACTTGCAGGGTCACTTTGGAGATTTTCAAACAGGTTCTACGACTTATTGGCTTCGCCCATTTATGTGGAACCATGCACTCACCAACGGTACACTCACCAACGGTACACTCACCGATGATGTACATGCCATGTTTCGCGCGGGACAGCAGCACGTTGGTGCGGTTGGGGCTCTTGAGGAACCCAATCTTGCCGTCCACGTTGTTCCGTACGAGAGAGATGATGATCACCGTGCTCTCCTCACCCTGGAAGCTGCACATTTATTAAAACAAAGAGGAGGAGTCTCTTTTCTTACTTTTCTTTTTTGAATTCGCTTAGGAAAAAAAACTTGTTGGACGTTTTTTTCCATTCTTGCCATGGAAACTGAGATGGACAGGCGATACAAGCATGCGAAGAATATTCGGATCTTCCACTCTCATGTTCCACATCTAAACTCTAGTCTCTATGGTTCCAGCCACACCAAACACTCACTTGTCAACAGTGGCCAGCCGAACTGCATCCTTCAGATTTGCTGTGGTCACTTTAGGCGCACCCAACTCCAGCCCCAACCCCTTCCCCTTCGCCACTGAACTCCCCACCCCCTTCGCCGCCTCTCCGGCCCCAGCAGCCTCTCCCTCGGCTGCACCTTCCCTAGCAGCCGCCTTCTCCTCTGCCTCCTCCACCACCTCCGCATCCCCCTCCCCCAGGCGCACGTTCACCACCTGGGAAAGCGCCTGACGCAGCTTCAGCAGCTGCCCGACATACGGCGTGAGGATGGTGACTTCCCCTCCTGCGTACCCCTGCTGCAGCAGGTACGTGGCGAGGGCCACCACCATGGCTGCCTCGCCCGCGTTGGACTTGGACTTGCCCTCCCTCAGGTCGTCCCCGCCAGTTTCAGGGAAGTTGTGGTCCCAGAAGTGCAGATTCGCTGCCATGCCCCTCACGTCTGGGTACCTGGGGAGGGGGTGATGGCGAGAAGGAGAAAGAGAGCGGGGAGGGAAGAGAAGCACATGGATGGAGGAGGGAGGGTGATTTTGATCCTTCAGATGGGCATCACAGTGAGCAAAAAAAAAACAACAACCAAAAAAAAAAAAAAGCGATGCAGGCATACGAGCCATGTGAGAGCTTTTGAGACGCCACACACGTCTCGGCTCAGAAGCACATAAGCAAGCTACATACATACCCTTGCACGAACGGGTGATCCTTCAAGCCTGGGTAGATGGTGTAGCGAATAAGGTCAGCGATTTCCGGGCGCATGCGGCGCTGCGTGGCGAGGGTGTACACGGGGATCTGCCAGGAGAGGAGAGTGACCATAGCGTACGTACCTTTGGACAAACGGGTGGTCCCTGAGATCCGGGTAGATGGTGTAGCGGATGAGGTCAGCAATTTCAGGGCGCATGCGGCGCTGCGTGGCGAGGGTGTACACGGGGATCTGCTTAGAGTGGGCCAGGCGTTCGAAAAGCGAGACGTCCAGGTCGAAGCCCCTTCTGGAGTCCTTGCTCAGCTCGTACACCTCCACCTTGGGCCTCAGCTGCAGGTGGTCACCTGGTGGTGGAAGTGGCATTAGGGCGGGGGTGGGGCCACAGGGGATACATAAAGGGGTAGGTGCTCAGAGAAAGGCCCCTTGCTCATACACCTCCACCTTGGGCCGCAGCTGTAGGTGGTCGCCTGTGAATCAGAGTTGAGGTGGGGGACGAGCATGGAGTGTTTTTTTTTCACGGCCATACTGGGGCATCATCACCTTGAAGACCCAATGTCGCCATGCCCATGACACAACCACACGAGCTCAGATACCAGCAGCTCAATTATGCAAGTAAGTAATTTAGGGTTTAGGGAATGAAGGATGTTGTACCTATGAAACTGACGTGCTGGGTCTGCGGCGTGAGCGACATGAGGATAGTTTTGAGTCGACTCACATTTCTTAGGCTAAAATGTGCGAGCCTCGGGCACCTCAGCTGCTTCCTCAACAATGACGTGGCGTGCATGCAACCAACCTCAACCCCAGCCCCAAAGCACAGCAGCAGCAATTGCCGTACCGATGAGGATGATGTGTTGTGTCTGTGGGGTGAGGGACGTGAGAATGTGTGCCTCCAGCACAGCAACAACCACAGCCCATGACGCACCTATGAGAATAACGTGTTGTGTCTGCGGGGTGAGAGACGTGAGGATGTGCGCCTCCAGCACCTCAGCAGCCTCCTCCACGATGATGACTCGCGGGCCGAGAGCCGTGATGAGGCGCTGCATCTTGGCCACCCCGGACGATGGCAACATGCAGCGACATCCACAATCACAATCGCACCAGCAGCAGCAGGCCATACCATACCTATGAGAATAACATGCTGAGTCTGCGGTGTGAGCGAGGTCAGGATGTGGGCTTCTAAAACCTCAGCAGCCTCCTCCACGATGATGACTCGCGGGCCGAGTGCCGTGATGAGGCTCTGCATCTTAGCCACCCCGGACGTGGTCATCCCCACCACCTGCGCCCTCCTCAGCACCTGTAGGTCCTCCACCTGCCGTAGCTCGCTGCGCTCCCTCATCGCCCTGCGTGTTCCAAGATGGTAGATGCGGCAAAAAACATTCCAGATGCGCACACACATGCCAGATGTGCACGCACATGCCAGTTGTGTACACACATGCCAGATGTGCACACACATGCCAGATGTGCACACACATGCCAGATGTGCACACACATGCCAGATACGCACACACATGGCAGATACGCACACACATGCCAGATGCGCACACACATGCCAGATGCGCACACACACGCCAGATGCGCACACACACGTCAAAGACAGGTTACAATTAACATACGCGAATCGCTTGTAGGTCCTCCACCTTCCTGCACACGCACATGCGCAAACACAAATGAGACACACTCGCGCGCGCGCACACACACACATGCGCACACACCTGGCATAATTCGCCACCTCGGCCTCAATGGCAGCAGTGGCAGTGGCGCGCAGCTCCCCCACCCAGAACTCCACCAGCTTCCTCCTCTCCCTCCCACTTGTCGCCCACGGGTCCTCCACCCCCAACAGCTCATCCACCCCCCGATCACTCGCCTCGTCCACTTCCGGTCCCGCCCACACCTCCTCCTCCACCACCTCCTCCACCACCTCCTCCTCCACCAATTCCTCCTCCATCACCTTCCCCATGCTCCCGAGCTTTCCCATGCCGCCTTCACGTCGCATGCCATCGTGAATACTCAAGTCATTGAACGCGTGTGACAGATCCTCCTTCTCAGGAAACACTCCCGCCCCTCCTGAGCCTCCTGCCCCTGCATCTCCTGCACCTCCTGCTCCTCTCACTCCCCTTGAGGGAGCAAGGCTCAGCCACGAGCTGTCAAGTCCCGTGCCTGTCACTGAATACCCACCACCACTGCCACCACCATCGAAGTACGAACCCATCAACCCGACAATCTCACTTAGCTCCGCACTCACTCCCCCATCCCTCACACTGCTTATATCCCACCCTTCCCCAAACTCCAAATCACCAAGCAATCCCAAGGCACCAAACGCGTTCTGCATTGGAGCCTGTTGTCCAAAGGCGCCTATTCCCACTCCCCCTGCTACTCCCACTCCCCCTCCCTGAGGCAGGGCTCCCGCCCTTCCCCCTCCTCCTCCTCCGCCTCCCCCTCCGCCTCCCTTCCCCCTGCCTGACACATGACCTTGATCACCCCTCGTCTCAGCAGCAACCTTCTTGAAGTGAAATCTTTTCTTAGGCAAGCCTTGCTTCCACCGGTCCCAATTGTCTCGCCCCACTTGCTGCCAAGAGAACAGGGAGGAGAGATGATAACATCCAGAACTGGGTTGTTTTTTTCGTGAGTACAAGAAACCAAGAACCAAATCAAATCCCAGACAGGAAAATTGTGATATCCTGCTCAAGCTCAATCACGCAACAAACGCACGAGCATCACTGTGACATGGGAGGTGCGGTGCAGCACACCTGGTGCGGTGCAGCACACCTGGTGCGGTGCAGCACACCTGGTGCGGTGCAGCACACCTCATTCTAACTATAAAAAAACACAGGGTGGAGAGCCATGACGTGCATTGAATCAACGTAAAAAACATCCGAACACCCTTGTCCCTCCACGCACCCACCCGCCCACCCGCCCACCCACCCATGCACCCACCCGCCCACCCATCCATCCACCCACCCACCCACACGCCCACTTACCTTAAAACCATTGGCATCTGCCTTGCTGGTGGGGGCGAGCGCCTGGAAGAAAACAGGGTGGTTGATTGACCATAAGGTGGGGGGTGATGGAGCGAGCGCCACGCCACACCCACCCGTCCGCCCTTCCACCCATCCATCCACCCAACCACCCACACGCCCACTTACCTTAAAACCATTGGCATCTGCCTTGCTGGTGGGGGCGAGCGCCTGGAAGAAAACAGGGTGGTTGATTGACCATGAGGTGGGGAGCGATGGAGCGCCACGCCACACCCACCCGTCCGCCCTTCCAGGCTTCCACCCACCCATAAACCCACCCACCACACACCCACTTACCTTGAAGCCTTCAGCATCTGCCTTGCTGGTGGGGTTGAGTGCGTGGAAGAAGACAGGGTGGTTGGCCATGAGGTGGCGGGCGATGGAGCCCCATGCCACAGCCGCCACGTTGTCACTGCGCTGCTGCAGGGCGTCGCTGTACGTGCCTATCACCTCCTCCACCTCGCCCAGCTTGACTTTCACCTCGTAGTTCGATTGCCTGCATGCTGCACAGTACAGACACACACATGCACGACACCAGCTTTGGATTTACTAAGACTCGAGATTGAAACACGTGCCACGTCTTCCCGGGACAATCAGCACGTGCTGAGCCTATGTTTGAGTCGACTCTAAAACTCGAGATTGAAACACGTGCCAAGTCGTCCCGGGACGATCAGCACGTGCTGATCTCTGATCACCAACCAGCTCTACCCAGTCAAGCTTGCTGCCCACCTTGTAGCTCCCCTGCCTGTGCACACGGCTCTCGATCTCTGTAGGATCCCCACACATGATTTTTCAACACTGAAAAACTTACAGGTTCGGGTCTAAAAAACGTTTCGAAACGCAAAACATCCATCTCAGACTTGGAATGCAAGTAAGTGGTTGGGTTGGGAAAGATTTGCGGTGCAGTGCAGTGCTGTGCTGTGCTGTGCTGTGCCGTGCTGTGCTGTGCTGTGGTGCTCACTTTTGCTGCGCAGCGGGCCAGAGTTATGGATGATCTCGCAAAGGTTGTACTCTTGCAGAATCTCCGACTTGCTCCTTCCTCCAACGCGCACCACCTGTTTATCAGTGAGAACCACACAGAATAAACTACACAGAATGAACAACACAAAGAGTACCACACAGAGAGAACCACAGCCATACTACCGGACCAAAGCCATTGCATGCAGAGGCAAAGGCTTGTCTAAGAAAGCAGCCTGCCAATGACGTACCCACGAGCCACAGAACCCGACTTACGGCAAGAACCGCAACATACACAAATCAATTTGAGTAGAGGGGATGTGGGACCTCCAATATACTAAACTCACGTTCGTGGTGCTACTGGCAATGAGTCTCAGGATGGGACTTGCAGGAGGGACGCAATCAGATCAGGCGGCAGCGGTATAGGTGCTGCACTCACGTTGTTGATGCCACTGGCAATGAGGCCTTCCAGGAACTGATCCAGAGCGTGGTTGGTGAAGCACACGCACAGGATGGGAACCACAGAAGGGCTGGGGACTTACAGCCCGCTCAGAGCAGCACAACACCCCCCCTGAACTCACGTTCGTGATCCCGCTGGCAATGAGGCCCTCCAGGAACTGATCCAGTGCGTGGTTGGTGAAGCACACACACAGGATGGGCCCTGCAGGGTGGGACCCACAGGAGGAGGCCCACATGATATTCACAACCCGTCCAGCCCAGCACGACCCCTTGCATCAACTCACGTTATTGATGCCACTGGCAATGAGGCCTTCCAGGAACTGATCCAGAGCGTGGTTGGTGAAGCACACGCACAGGATGGGCCCTGCTGACCTGGCCACCTCCCTGCCTCGAGCAAACAGTCCTCCTAACGAAGTGCTCTTCTTGAGAGCATTGCTCAGCAGAAGCTCCACAAGCTTTATCCCCACAAACGTCTGCCATGCGAATACACACACGCACGCACGCACGCACGCACGCACACGCACGCGCGCACACACACACCAGTCAGACAGCACCATAAGCTCAGAGCCATGAAGGCTTTGGGTGAAATCTGCATATAGCGTCACGACGAGTTTGAAATACACAAGAAAATCTCACGGCAAGAGCAAGAAGCTGGGAGGTGCCAGGGGGTAAGGGAGTAGCGAAGCGAGAGTAGAGAAAACTCCTTATAAAGTACGAAGGAGGGAGTAATTAGTCCGCATGTAATTAGGAGGGAGGGTAATTAGTTCCCGACTTGTACCTGTTGTCCCTGTGGCCTCTAAAAAACGAAGGAGTATGTGAGAGTGACACAGGTCTTCAACCCACCCACCTTGCCAGTTCCTGGGGGGCCCTGCTGCAGTGTAAACTCCTGAGTGAGAGCAGCATGGAGTGCCACAGTCGGAGCTCGTACAGCAACACTTCTTAGCCTCTAAATCACGGCTCGTCAGCCTCTACAATCGCCCAATTTTTAGCCGCCTCACCACTCACGCGCGCACACAACCCACCTTGCCAGTTCCCGGGGGCCCCTGCAGCAGAGCGAACTCCTGCGTGAGAGCAGCATGGAGTGCCACAGTCTGGGGCTCGTCCAGAGATGTGCAGCGCAGGAGAGCATCCATGGGGAATGCCGTGGGGCTGCCGATCATCACGTTCCTGATGGCAAACTCGTCCTCTGGAGCAGTCTCTGCCTGCTGGGAGGTGGAGGGCGGCTTGGTCTTGAGCAGCAGGCCCAGGTCGTACCTGCGAGCAAGGAATCACGCAACACACGCACACACACACATACACATGTGCAGAGGTTTGCTCTCGATGAGAGAAGGAGGTGAGGATAAAAAACTTTGCCTTGCTGATGGTAGATGAGTTCTCGGAAATAATCCAGAAATGCTGAAAAGGACATGCCATTGTTGCCAAGATGCTAAAAATTACACACATGGATTTCCCTCCTCTAGCCGACCCGCCCAACCTCTCTCCCTCTCATTTAGCCCCTCTCTTCCAATCCAACATCACATTGCAGACCCCCTTTGACCCTCCCCTTCCCACTTACATCATCCCCCCTTTGATGTACGCAGGCAGCTTATACGCTCCAGGTGCCCTCCCAGGTGCCCCACCAGGTGCCTCTCCAGCTGCCCCACAGATGTACTCAGAAAACGGCAGCGACGTGTCAGTAATGCTCTGCAGCGCCTTCAGAATCGGCTCATACGCGAAGAAGCTCCCATGCGCCTCCAGCATCACCACCTGCGTCCTCCTGCCACTCCCGCCACTCCCCCCGTTGCCGTCCTGTGCGATCAGCCCCAGCAGGTCTGCACTGAACCCGTTGCCTCCGCACGGCTGCACGCCGATCTGTGGCCTGGCAGTGGCAAGCCTCCTTGTCTCGCGGGCTGTGATGGTCGCGAAGATTAGCCGGTGGGAGGAGGAATCACTTGCTGAAGAGTGAGTGTCCCTCGGGGCGGGGATTTGCTGTTGCTGCGGCTGTTGCTGCCTGTGAGTGTGAGTGTGAGGGTGAGTATGACCGGACTGATTGTCTCGGATCCACAGGCAGACCAGGGAGCCGTTCTGCAGCCTCCTCGTGTTGTCCCAGAAATCCACCCTTCAACGAAACACAATTAGGAGAGAAGGACGTGAAAAAGAGGTTAGACGGGTGCAAAAATCACGAAAACTGGCTGGCAGGCAAGAACCAACCAAGACTGGCGTATGCGTATGATAAAAATAGGCATCAAGTGCAGATAAGCTTGGGTTACCTGCTGCTACGAGAATGCCGGCCCCGAGGCATGGGAGGTTCCAAAAAGTCTATTAGAAAGTACACGCCGCACTTCCTGTCCGCGACAACAGACAGCACGCGCACATCCCGTAGCAAATACACATCCATGTCCTCTGACGGAAACCCCACCACGCCCTTCATATCCTCCGTCAGACCCCTCACCAACTCCCTGTCCGCCCTCAGAAGCCCCATCGCCTCCTCCCTGCTGCCGCCTCTACCACCACCACCACCACCGCCGCCGCCGCTGTTCCTGCTGCTACTCCCCCTGCCACAAGCATCCCGGGAGGATTCGTGGTTGAGGTGGTGGAAGAGGAAGAGCGCCTTGCTCCAGAGGGGCGCAATCAAATCGTGGCGGAGCAAGCGGAAGTGTATGTCCACGTGGCGGGCTACAGAGCCCGCTGGCAGGTGGTGCGGCTCGTTGGGGTGGTTGTGCGGCAGATACAGGGACGCCTTGCACAGCACCTCCTCCATTGTTGGCGCCACCGAAATCTGGTGATTCGTGCAAGGGAGGTAATACGACAGAAAGATTCTGGTCTTCTCTACGGAAAGGGAACAATCAAGACAGGAAGATTCTGGTCTCAGGAAAGAGAATTATCAAGACGGAGTCCGGTACCAGGCAACGACCATTGACTCAGAGAGGAAAAATCCATCAAAATAAGCACTATCCAGAATCAAGCCAGAAACACTTCTGTTACCAGCAGTGATTGCCATGTCACGTACATCAGAAGATGAACATCATCTTACAGCTGAGATTTCAAGATGGTCGTTGTCATGCCGGGGGCGGCCATCCAAGCTGAGCTCGCCCGGACCATCCACATCCTGCATGCTGGACAGGCGCTGACCTGCACACATGGTTCACATCAAATCAATAGAATGAGAGCATTTGTGACATTGACTTGTTAAGTGAAAATGGAGAACACTTCCTATAATCGGAATTGATAGAAACAGGAGCTCCTGCAACAGCACGCACGAACCTGGAGGGTTGAACTCAGCATGCAGAAGCTGCCCTTCCTCCATCCTCTGCCGCTGCCTCTCACTGTGCTGCCGCCTATCCAGCGACTTCTAAGACATTCTAAAGCTCAACAGCGATGACACAAGACAAACGAACCTGGAGGGTTGAAGTCAGCATGCAGAAGCTGCCCTTCCCCCATCCGCTGTCGCTGCCTCTCACTGTGCTGGCACCTTGTCCAGCGACTTCTGAGACATTCTAAATTTCTAACATGCGATGACACAAGACAAACGAACCTGGAGGGTTGAACTCAGCATGCAGAAGCTGCCCTTCCTCCATCCTCTGCCGCTGCCTCTCACTGTGCTGGCGCCTATCCAGCGACTTCCTCAGCCGGTGGATCACCGACCGAATGCTGTGGTATTTCCCATCAAACACCGGCTTCTCCCTCTGCCACTTCTCAAGCATCCCTTCCACCTCCTGCATGTCGGCGCTGGCTTGTGCCGCGTCGAATAAGGAATAGAAGCGATCCATGGTGAGGTTGAAGAAGCTGATGATGGCGTGGAATGCCGCGTCCCAGTCGTTGATATCGTCGTCGTCCCGTGATAGATCGCAGATCATCCCGCGTTGGGTGAGGAGTCGCATGCAGCTGATGAGGTACTCCTGAAAACCTTCCACCTCAACGATTGCTGCTAGGGTTATGTTGACTTTACTTGAGGCCGGGTTATTGAAAAACTCGGGCTGCAGGGTTTCAATTGCAAAAAACAGGACGAAACAAAACGACATGAGCTTAACAGCAAACTTCAAGATTGAATCTCGGCAAAAAAGAGTATCATAAATTAGTTGAAGTGCGAGACGTTACCTGACAGATGACCCTGAGCATTGGCAGAATCACGCCCTGAAACGAAACGAATTTGCTGTGGTTTCCAGCAGAAACGGATCTTGTAGGACCACAAGCCACGGCCTCCCGGCAGATGCTCACCACCTTCTTTCTGCCAAATATCTTGTCGTCAGCCAGCACAATAACCAGATCTGCACAAACGGTTGAAATCGAACACCGATAGATCTCGTGACATTAGTACCATTGACTGACAAGCTGAAGACCGAAGTGTCAGCACTCTCCAAGGGCAGTCTGTCACCATGGGAAGGTTTGAAAAAATGGTAGTACCTGAGACATCATGAGCTTCCATTGCGTTAACGAAGAAAACCATTTGAGACTGATCCACGAAATCTCTGTCACTCAGGAGGAAGGACCGTAGGTCAGGGCCCTTCATCCTCTGACCGTCTAAACTGGACGTCCCTCCTCCTCCTCCTCTTCCTCTTCCTCCTCCTCCCCCTCCTCTTCCTCCTCCCCCTCCTCTTCCTCCCCATCCTCCTCCTCCTCCTCCTCCTCCTCCCCCTCCTCCACTCCCTTCTCCTCCCCCCCCTCCTCTCCCTCCTCCTCCCCGTTCTACTATTCTCTCTCCTCCTCTCCCTTCTCCTCCTCCTCTCCCTACTCCTCGTCCTCCCCTTCCTCTCTCACTCCCACCACGTCCGCGATTTCCGCCATGATTCTTATTCTGGTTTTGATTATGATTCTGATGATCAGACTGCCGCCCTCCTCTGCCTCCATAGTTTCCCCGTCCGCCAAAATTCCGGCCTCGCCCACTGCTGCCTCCTCTAACGGAGACGAACTGGTGATCCATGCCTCTCACTCAACAAACTAGTTGAGTGATTGGATTCCAACGCAGGACAGTCTGCTCTAATAAGAGTGTTTCAGCGGCACAGAAGAGTGCCGTTGATTGAGTGTATCAGGTCCGACCTGGGACATTCTGCTCTAGGAGAGTGTTTTCAGGTCCCACGTAGGACAGTCTCCTCTGGTATACTCCAGCGGCACAGGACGGATCTAGTCAAATCGTTCGCTCTTGATCAATAGACCCTAAAAGAGCAGCTGGCTGTGCCCATGAGCAGATTCAGCCACTCGATCCAAGTGGTCAATTCTCTCACCAGCAGCACAGACCCACCAGCAACAGCTTGCTGTGCCAGTGAATTGATGTGACGGAATTTCGTTGTGAATGGGGTGAACTATCACTGATGGTCACTGGCAGCACAGCCCCATTAGCAACAGGAAAGCTGCACAAATGGGCTCATACATAAAGCCCAAAAGGCTCCGAATGAGGTTCAATCTTGGTTCAAAATTGGTCATTTCACACTCCTGCTGACCAGAAGAACAGCCCCCACCAGTGCCAGTGAGCTGTGAGTTGATGTGATGTGCAGCACATCTGTTCCAATTAGAGGATGAGCACATCTTTTATGTTCCGCGACAACATCCGTCGATATCCAGCGTATCGACGGATGTCCGGCCTTCGAAATGTCACGCTCCGCGCATTTGTGACCTTCAACATGCAAGAAACGAGGTGCGCGTACCCTAAAACGATGATACGCAGTGAAGGAAGTGCCCCAAATCTGACAGTGGTCACTTCTATTCGCTGGATTCCCGTTTTTATGCCCGTATTCCTGCCCACATGCACTTTCGACATCCCTCGACATCTCCAAGACATCGGGGATGTCGAGGCTGGTTGTCGAGGTGTCGAGGCTCCTTTGAACGCAGACATCTCAAACGAGTTCCGTCCACTCCCCTCAAAATCCGTCATCTCCCATCCCACTTCAGGCATGCTGCAGAACTGGCAAACGAAACGACAGGCTTTGGGAGCTCCTTCTCACGCCTAGATTACCCCGCCGTTTCCCACGCTTCGCTCACGCCTTTCTTACGCCTTGCATTTTCCCAGTCGGTTTGCGGCATCGCGTGCTGATCAGTTACCGCTGGCAGTTGCGACGCCTCGTCATCTACAAGCGGCTCCCTTCAAATTATGATATTCCTAAGCCGAATCAAACATGTATTTAGTGGATGTAGAGCCTTGCCATAGTTATATTTGTGTTGATGAAAAAATACTTGAGCAATGTACAACATCCAGTCATAACTGACGGGTAGGAGAGTGAGATAGTTTTGCTAGCTGTTCCTTATCCTCTCTGCAGAGGCTAGAAGGCCAAACATACGACATCTCATATGGATATGTAATTTGCCCTCCACGTTAGAGGAATCTCCGTGTTGTACCACATTTGGGTACCTGCAGGCTAAGTTGGATTGCATTGTAGGGGGTACGGGATGTTACATGTAGATGGAGATGGTACAGAAACCATCGTTGACTTGCCAGCCATTTTCAGGTGGTTATATCGTGAGAGGCCAAGGTGGGCTATTAGAACGTGAGGCTGTACTTGCGGATCTCGTACATGATGGATGGTATGGAAACCACATCCTTCATTAGTGATGCGCCTCCCTCCACTCGCTACAATCACAGTTGGCACATAAGGAGGGGAGGAGGAAGGTCAATAGCATACAGAAAAAAATGCAGATGTAAGACATGAGCAACATGTTCAACAGGCATTGTCGACAACTGCCAATTAACAGGCTCAGCCGCATCAAAGGGCTTTCAGAACAACAATGGGCACACACAACCATCGAGTCACTTCCAAATGAGACGAGAAGCATGCACTACAAAACAGTTGTGCATTCTCAAGACTTATCTTCAGGAAGTCACTGTGATACGTGCTTAAAGCATTGATGGTGTGTACTGGAATCAGCATTTGTGTTTCCAAGAAACACACCTTGACGCAGTCAGAGAGGCATAGATAGTAGAGCAGCAGCTGGGTGAGGGCCGCTCTAGGATTGTGATGCGTACAGGGACGGAGCATTTGTTTAAAACGAGTGGTGTGCTTTCACGCAGCAATGATGCTTCCACGACACACACCTTGAGGCAGTCAGAGAGGCGCGTGTAGTAGAGCAGCAGCTGGGTGAGGGCCGCTCTTAGTATGTCCATTCCACACACGAAATTGCTGAAGTTGGTGATTATGTCCTTGTGAATCAGGTCTATGGTGGCCTGTAGGATTAGGGGGGGTGAGGGGGAGAGGGATGGGGGGATAGTAGAGCAGAAGCTGGGTGAGGGCTGCTCTTAGGATGTCCATTCCACACACAAAGTTGCTGAAGTTGGTGATTATGTCCTTGTGAATCAGATCTATGGCGGCATGTAAGGTTAGGGCGAGGAAACGGGGGTTGGAGATGGTCAATGGTGATCTCCTTCTGATCAAATGGAGCGTCGACTGCGGGATTAGGTCGGGAGGCCGTAATATCCATCCTTGTACACATGCTGAGGTTGATAATGACACAGCTCCTGCTGGATTTTTCGCTCTCCTCTCTCCACCCCCTCACCTTCCATCTGACAGCAAAGTCTTTGAGGTGGGGCTTCACCTCCTTGGCTGTGATATGGGTGACCTATGAGTTGCGATTGTGAACAAACACTCCACCTCTCTCCTCCCTCTCACTCACCTTCCATCTGACAGCAAAGTCCTTGAGGTGCGGCTCCACCTCCTTGGCTGTGATGGGAGCCGCATCCACCCGCCGCCCCGCCGTGCTGCCAGTGCTGCCGCTGCGATTACTGAGGCTCCACCAAGAAACAAGCAGCTTCTGCTTTACTCTTCTGACTTTTGAGACGTCTCAAAAGTCTTTTGACGCGCCACCAAAAAACAAGCAGCTTCTGCTTCACTCTTCTGTCTCTATCCTTCTCTCACCTTCCATCTGACAGCAAAGTCCTTGAGGTGCGGTTCCACCTCCTTGGCTGTGATGGGAGCCGCATCCACCCGCCGCCCCGCCGTGCTGCCAGTGCTGCTGCGCGCTGCCACTGCATCTGCTGTCTCGTCGCCTGTGCCTGGTATGTGGGAGTGGTGGAGGGGAGAGGTAAGGTGTTTGCCCACTAGAAAGCCACTGCATCTGCTGTCTCATCGCCTGTGCCTGGTATGTGGGAGTGGTGGAGGGAAGGGGTAAGGTGTTTGCCCGCTAGAAAGCCGCTGCCGTGCTGCCGGTGCTGCTGCGCGCCGCCACTGTATCTGCTGTCTCATCGCCTGTGCCTATATGGGTTAGGTTGGGGGGGAAAGGGGACGGGGTGGAGCGGAGGGGAGGGGGATAGTCCACTCAGGTTCCATAGCTGCCAGTGCTGCTGCGCGCTGCCACTGCATCTGCTGTCTCGTCGCCTGTGCCTGGTATGTGGGAGTGGTGGAGGGGAGAGGTAAGGTGTTTGCCCACTAGAAAGCCGCTGCCACTGCATCTGCTGTCTCGTCGCCTGTGCCTGTTACATGTGTGTGCGTGGGGGTAAAAGGGTGGGGTGGAGGGGAGGGAGGAGGATAATCCACTCGTTGTGAATGCAATGGGCCAGCATGCACGCATCCACACTCAGTGGTGCACAGAAGCACATCTACACACACACACGCACGCGCGCGCGCGCGCACACACACACGCACAGAGTGAAGCTCACCTGTTCTCTTCTTGACGAAGTCTACAAGTCCCCTGAAGTACTCGTGTAGCTCCTCCTCCTGCCAAGTGTTATGCGAGGAGGCACAAAGAATCAGCGGAAAAAAGGGTGGATGGCTGATCAACCAGCAAGCTGAGAATCACACAAATTGTGAGAAAACCATACCCTTCCGTGTGTGCTGTGCAGTGGTCATCCCCACACTACGAAGATGGTGGAGAAGTAATCCCTTGCGAGAACTCTAAATTGACTTTACAGTCGCCTCAAGAGTCAGCATTTTGAGTCGACTCAAAAGTCATCCCTTCTGTGTGTGCCGTGCAGTGGTCATCCCCACACCACGAGATGGTGCTTGCGAGAATTCTGAAGAACCGTTTGGAAATCTGAGAAGCGCCAGTTGACAGGAAGATGCACCACAGGCCCACAGGAAGGCACACACTGCTCTCAGCCAAACCCAGCTGCGCCCAGGCCACCCCAGGCCAGCCCAGCCCAGCCCAGCCCAGCCCAGCCCAGCTTCTTACCACGAAGATGGTGGAGAAGGAGCTGAGAAGCTCTGCAAAGTGGCGCTGAGTCTTGCCCTCCTCCACCCCCGCCTCCTGTGCCGCACACACACACACGCCAGCAGAGAAAGGAAAGAAAGGAAAACAAGCTTTCAGAAGCAGCCTCAAAATCTCCACCATAACACAATCCACTCCTCAGACTGTTCAGATCCACATTCCTAAGAGCACCTTCGTTGTTGATGAGAAACACGGTGCGCTGCTTGGGCTTGGGGAAGAGCCTCGAGGTCTCCACCAGGAGGTGAAACCTGTCCTGTGCCTGCCAACCCCAGGCCAGGGAGGAGGTACAGATACGCA